ATTTACATTACAAATAAAATTGATTTTTTTTTTTTTTTTTTTTTTATTGCTCATACATCTTTTTAATGACACCTTAAACATCCTGGGGTACAATGTTTCTATCTTTAGGTTCTTGTTATGGGAATTTTCTTTATTTTCCTAAGTTGTGGTAACGGTGAATTTTTTTTTTCTTTTTATGTAAAAATATCATACAGTTGTGCCTATTTATGGAAGCCGAAGCCACAACACACTCTGAAGGACCTCTTTTTGGACGGCTGTACTGAGTTACATAACCATCACTCTTTTCAGAATGCATCAGATGAGAAATTGGACGGCGACGCAGTGAAATCAGGTCTATTAGACTGCTGTGTTCACGCCAATAAAATCTATTTCATCTTTTATTTGTCTCGATATGCCCGCTCTCGCTTAACTTGTGAGTGTCTGAAGTTCTCTTTTATTGGCCAGACATTGAATTCCTCACATTTAGCGGTGCAGTAAATCAGATTTCAATTGTGTATACACATTAAAAGATGCAAGACGTATTATCTATGTATGAATAAACTGTTTGCATATGAGGTTCTGGCTGGGTCCCAAGATGAGGCTCATGTACTGAGAGCTAAGGAGACCAGCCACTCATCCTGTGCTGGTCCATGTGAGGTGATGGCATAGCAGAGACAGGAGCTGCTGCCGGGCCTGTGACCTAAGTGTGGCCCAATTCTGATTCCATTTACCCATTGGATCCAAGGGTGCTTTCTCGGAAGAGGCTTCCATGACTACATAGTTATTTTTGTGGGTGCTAATTAAAATGTTGGACCTCTGGCTTGATTGACTGGCTTGCCCGGACCTATGATCTAAGTGTGGCCCAATTCTGATTCCATTTACCCATTGGATCCAGGGGTGCTTTCTCAGAAGAGGCTTCCATGACTACATTGTTATTTTTGTGGGTGCTAATTGAAATGTTGGACCTCTGGCTTGCCAGACCTATGACCTAAGTGTGGCCCAATTCTGATTTAATTTCCCCCTTGGATGTTGGATCTTGCAATGTTTTCTCAGAAGTGGCTTCCATGACTACATAGTTATTTTTGTGGGTGCTAATTAAAATGTTGGACCTCTGGCTTGATTGACTGGCTTGCCGGACCTATGATCTAAGTGTGGCCCAATTCTGATTCTCTTTCCCCCTTGGATGTTGGATCTTTTAATGCTTTCTCAGAAGTGGCTTCCATGACTACATAGTTATTTTTGAGGGTGCTAATTGAAATGTTGGACCTCTGGCTTGATTGACTGGTTTGCCGGACCTATGACCTAAGTGTGGCCCAATTCGGATTCCATTTCCTGCTTGGATGTGGGATCCAGGGGTGCTTTTTCAGATGAGGCTTCCATGACTACATAGTTATTTTTGTGGGTGCTAATTAAAATGTTGGACCTCTGGCTTGATTGACTGGCTTTCTGGACCTATGATCTAAGTGTGGCCCAATTCTGATTCCATTTCCCCCTTGGATCCAGGGGTGCTTTCTCAGAAGAGGCTTCCATGACTACATTGTTATTTTTGTGGGTGCTAATTGAAATGTTGGACCTCTGGCTTGCCAGACCTATGACCTAAGTGTGGCCCAATTCTGATTCCACTTCCCCCTTGGATGTTGAATCTTGGATTGCTTTCTCAGAAGTGGCTTCCATGACTACATTTATTTTTTGTGGGTGCTAATTGAAATGTTGGACCTCCTGGCTTTTGTTTTTGCTCTAGATTCCTAGTCCAAGGCATGTGATTTTATTCCCTCGCTCCATCTGCATGGTGGTGTTTGTGGAAGTTTTGCCGAAAACACAAAGATAACATTTTACTTCTCCAGACCAGAAAAGTGTGGAGTTTTAAAGTGAACCTGTGCTTTGCCCAGTAGCGTATACTTGTCTTTTTGTTTGCTCTTCCACTACTCACTTTACCTTCTGGAAGAGGAAGGATAGTCCTGTGTGAGCTGCAAGTCATTGGAGTCGTAGATCAAAGCCCAAGTCCAGATTGGGTAACAAAAAAAAAAGTATGGATCCCCAGTAGCTTGAGCTTTTATACTTATCTGATCCCCCTTCCCAGACTCCAGATCCAGCAATGTGGTGTTGTTCCTCCTCCAGGTTGAATGATGCCCTATGTCATCCAACCACCTGCTTGTCAAGCCTTGCCCCCACCTTGGTGCAGAAATGATGCAGAAAGAGGCCAACTGACATTACATGGGGTCTGCCCAGTGAAAGGGTGCCTCGGGACTGTCTGTAATTTTAAAAGGTGGCTCGGGACTGTCCGTAAATTTAGAGGGGGTGCCTCGGGACTGTCCGTAATTTTAAAGGGTGCCTCGGGACTGTCCGTAATTTCAAAGGGTGCCTCAGTACTGTCCATAATTTTAAAGGGTGCCTCGGGACTGTCCATAATTTTAAAGGGTGCCTCAGGACTGTCCATAATTTTAAAGGGTGCCTCGGGACTGTCCATAATTTTAAAGGGTGCCTCAGGACTGTCCATAATTTTAAAGGGTGCCTCAGGACTGTCCATCATTTTAAAGGGTGCCTCGGGACTGTCCATCATTTTAAAGGGTGTCTCGGGACTGTCCGTAATTTTAAAGGGTGCCTCGGGACTGTCCATAATTTTAAAGGGTGTCTCGGGACTGTCCGTAATTTTAAAGGGTGCCTCGGGACTGTCCGTAATTTTAAAGGGTGTCTCGGGACTGTCCGTAATTTTAAAGGGTGCCTCGGGACTGTCCGTAATTTTAAAGGGTGCCTCGGGACTGTCCGTAATTTTAAAGGGTGCCTCGGGACTGTCCGTAATTTTAAAGGGTGCCTCGGGACTGTCCGTAATTTTAAAGGGTGCCTCGGGACTGTCCGTAATTTTAAAGGGTGCCTCGGGACTGTCCATCATTTTTAAAGGGTGTCTCGGGACTGTCCGTAATTTTAAAGGGTGCCACGGGACTGTCCGTAATTTTAAAGGGCGCCTCGGGACTGTCCGTAATTTTAAAGGGCGCCTCGGGACTGTCCGTAATTTTAAAGGGTGCCTCGGGACTGTCCGTAATTTTAAAAGGTGTCTCGGGACTGTCCGTAATTTCAAAGGGTGTCTCGGGACTGTCCGTAATTTTAAAAGGTGTCTCGGGACTGTCCGTAATTTCAAAGGGTGTCTCGGGACTGTCCGTAATTTTAAAGGGTGTCTCGGGACTGTCCGTAATTTTAAAGGGTGTCTCGGGACTGTCCGTAATTTTAAAGGGTGTTTTGGGACTGTCCATAATTTTAAAGGGTGCCACGGGACTCTCCATCATTTTAAAGGGTGCCTCGGGACTGTCCGTCATTTGAAAGGGTGCCTTGACTGAAAAAAGGTTGAGAAACACTGGTCAAGGGCATGAAAAGGGCACAAACAGGACCTGATGGCGTTGGGCTTGGAGTGTAGTGGTGGATCAAAGGCCTAGTGATAAATAGAATGGACGCAGTGGTGAAGCAATTACAGTCACAACATATATATTTGACCTCCTGCTCTCTAGCTCCCTTGTCTCCTCCTCCCATGCTCTTCTCCAGGACTTTTCCAGAGCTTCCCCCATCCTCTGGAACTCTCTACCCCAATTTATCAGACTATCGCCTACTCTGCTCACTTTTAGGCGATCTCTGAAAACCTCTCTCTTCAGGGAAGCCTATCCTGCCCTCAGCTAATAATGGAATCTTCTACTCCTCCTACCAGTCCATCCCCCACAGTTATTACCTTTTGTACCACTAGCCCCTCCCTCCTAGATTGTAAGCTCCCAGGATCAGGCCCTCCTAACCCTCTTGTATTGAACTGTATTGTTGCTGTATTGTCTCCCATTATATTGTAAAGCGCTGAGCAAACTGTTGGCGCCATAAATCCTGTATAATAATATATTTAGTTTTGTTGAGCCAGATTTTTGTTTGAGATACAGACTGCATACCCTTGGCCTGGTTGGCTGTAGGTGGCGTATTGGGTACCACAGCAGATCTGTGGTTAGCTTTCCAAGATATTTGGCATAATCTACCTGCTGAGATTCTTCAAAAACTGTGCAAGAGTACCTAGAAGAAGGCAAAGGGGGGGGGGGGGGGGGGGGGTAGAAACAGAAACAACACCTCCTCTAGGACCCTGAGCAAGGGTGGATAGATGGAAAAGGAACTTGTGAAAATTTTCGTTCACCAATGCATAAAAGGCTGTGCGGCTCTAAACAAGGCTGGAGAAGCCCAGCAAGTACTGCAAAGTGAATCAAAAAGCGCACCAACCTTGTGCATTACCTCAATAAAATGTATTTATTTCAGGTACTTATATATCGCCATCAATCTCCGCAGCGCTTTACATATATATTGTACATTCACATCAGTCTCCGCCCCCTAGGAGCGTACAATCTAAGGTCCCTAACCCTCAAGGGGTGTACAATCTAAGGTCCCTAACTCACATTCATACATACACATACTAGGGACAATTTAGACAGGAGCCAATTAACCTTCCAGCATGTCTTTGGAGTGTGGGAGGAAACGGGAGTACCCAGAGGAAACCCACGCAGGCACAGGGAGAACATGCAAACTCCAGGCAGGTGGTGCCGTGGCTGGGATTCGAACCAACGACTCTAGTACTGCCAGGTGGAAGTGCTAACCATTGAGCCTCTGTGCTGCCCCATAAATGTGATTTTATTAAATTGAGAGATATACTCGCAAGCACAGAAGTAAAACCAGCGTATACGATCCTCAAAGGAACACTAAAAGTGCAAAACCAGTACGAAGGCAGACTCTCAAAGAATGGTTGATGCGCTTCGAAGGGGGTCCTTTCTTCATCAGAGCTCGGGGGGGGGGGGGGTCACACCCAATATTGATTTGATTTGGATTTGTATTCAATTACTTTTCATTTTGTTAATTGCTAAAAAATAAATTATAAACATTTCTATTTCTGAAAGCATTCTTCATTTACAGCATTTTTTCACACCTGATAAACCTTTTGCACAGTACAGTATATAATCCATTTCTGATCACATCTTCACAACGTATAGAAACTCTCCTCTGTTTTGTAGCTTGAAGGACGTATTGTAGAAGACAAACCAACCATGTGTCCTCCAAATCCCTCCGGTCAATGTCCGATCTGCCGCTGGAACCTCAAACATAAATACGACTACATGGTAAGATCGTCACAAGACTGCTGTGTGCTAGGAGTTCCCTTTAACCACCTCCCGTCCGGCCCATGTACATAAACGACCAGACGGAAGCAGTGCAGGGGTGGGTGGCCGTTTATAAACGTCCTCCCGCATCCCCTGCCTGTGCGCGCTCCCTAGGAGCATGCGGCACCGCAATCCGGTGCGACACAGCAGAACACCGATCGCTGTACAGGACCTCTGTGTGAGGTCCGGATCATGTGATCACTGATTGGCCGATCGGTGATCACATGAAGAGTAGTAAGCAAGATGTCGTGTTCCCCTTCAGCCGGTTTCCCTGGAAACGAGAAGCGCCGCAGCCATCTTGGTTATGGGCAGGAGACCTGAGGGTGGAATGTCTTGCTGAGCGGGCAGTGTCAGCTTCCTTTTTCATATCAGTGACATGTCGGCCCCTCTGTCATATGGCCCCGTCTCTTCCCCCTCCCACAATTGGATATTATTTTTTTTTTTAATTTAAGGGCCCCTTTCACACCGCTTTATTGAAAAAAGTAAGAAAAACACATTTTTGATGCACTTTTTGGGTGCCTGACGCTATTCATGGAGTTGTGAAACACGGACATGTGACTCAAAAACGTGATTGCGTTTTTGGTTCTTTTTTTGAGTCACACGGTCCGTGTTTCAGAGCTGCACATTTCAGGCACATTTCATTTCACTTCTGACATCATTGCTTACTACGTGTGAAATCTGTGAATGATCACAGAGGTCACATGGTACAGGGCTATTCACAACAGCCTTGTACCATGTGACAAGCTGTGACCAATCACAGCACTCACAGTATTTCTCAATGGCTGCAGGAATGCAGCCAGAGAGAAGGAGAAATGATTGCTTTTACAGCCTTTATGGGTGAAAAAGCAATCAGTGTTAAAAAAAGAAAATCTTCATCACCCCCCCACAAGTAGTACAGAGTCACTATGGTGACATTGTACTGCTAGGGTATGTTAAAACATAAATAATAATATAAAAAAATAAATAAAAATGTAAAAAATATTTTTGAAAAATTATAATTTTTGTTTATAAACTAATTTGTTTTTGTTTTTTTTTTTAACTAAAAAGATAACTGAATACATTTTGGCCAAGATTTACAAAGAAAGATTATTGATTTGCAAAATGTTATAAGGAAAAACACTTTTTTTTTTTTTCAACATTTTTGGACTTTTTCATTTATATAGCAAAAAAATAAAAATCCCAGTGGTGAATAAATACCACCAAAATACAGTTTTATTTGTCTCGAAAATTGGCCTGGACAGGAAGGGGGCGAAAATGTCCGGACTGGAAGTGGTTAAAGAGGAGCTGTCCCTTTGATGTACTTCATGTATCCATGGTTTTGAGTAAGGGCCGATTCACACCGACTTGTGCTAAAATGTACGGAAAATGGATGTACATTTCAGTCGCACGCTGACATCCCTTGACATGCATTTTAGTGTACATTAACCCCCCTGGTGGTATTCCTGAGTGTAGCTCGGGGTCACTTCAGTACCAAAAACGGTAACCCCGAGCTAAACTCAGTATTATCCTGCAGCGTTGCTCCGGGATCTCTTCTGCACTTACCTTGTCCTGCGCTCCCGCGATGTCCCCCTGCAGTGTCCCCGGCAATGTCCTCCGGCCGATGCCGGCATCTCTCTTCCGGGTTCCGTTCCCTGAGAGTGTCAGGACGTACGGGGGACGGAACTGGCGGGAAATTCAAAAATTTTAAAAGTGACATTCACTAAATACACTAAAATCACATAGTATAACATTCCTGTATCAAACCATTTCACATACATTGTGTCCCGAGTGCTTTGTCTGGCGCCCTGCCTACATTTTTACTGTTCTTTCTGCCTGGAAACTGGGAAACGTCCATCGCGTCCAAAAAGCGTCCCTTTAGGTCACAATCGGTTTTAGACCGGCTAGAGAACAGCGATAGTAAATCAGAACCACTTGCAGAATTGAGTGATAATGATTCGTGGGGGAAATTCCTCATCAGACACTGAAAACGATTCTGCGACTTTGCTCAGCGATGTGCGAACTTGGTGCTCTATTTCACATTTCAGTGTTTTTGGTTTGATTATATTATTGAATTAAATTTATTATTATTATTATATTATTATTTTTTATGATTATTATATTATAATTTATGATTTAGTGTTCCAAATTTTATCCTCCCCGGGATGTTTACTAGACTCTTGTTCGGACAGATTTCAGTGAGTTATTCCTAAAAATTACAGACCTACAATAAAAAAACATATTTCCATGCAAAAAAATGTACCGCTTTGAGCACAGAAATATGGACATCATCAGACCGCTAGGGAGGTTAAAGCATACTTAATTTTCACAGGATATCCTGTGCGTTGCGTTGACATCCGCTTACATCCGTTTCGTTGTGCTAAAATGCATACATTGCATTTTAGCGCAATGCAGCATTGTGGCGTGAATAGGACACATGGCAAATGATTGTTTTTCAGATGTCCTTCTGTTGATCTGCGTTTGTACAGCTCCGCTAAAATGAAGATTAACACATTGGTGTGAATTGGCCCTAAAATGATTACATTTTCCAATATCGACTATTTTCTGAAAGATAGTTCTTAGAGATCTCTTATATAGGGCTTCCCCCCCTTCATACCATCGCTTCATTACTCTGTTTTGTTTTCTCTACTGTTTTATTGTTTGCAACAATCTGATAGAAACACAGCTTGGCACGCTGTAAAATGTGGAGAAACCCCTTTATAAAGCCTGGGAGCTAAAAATATAATTCATCTACTGAACACTATAGATATAGGTATCAACCCCATACAGCAACTTCCCTATCTGGTCCTCTTACAGTAGATGGATGAGGGAGGTTATACAGAAGAATGAGGTAGAATGGTAGTTTGCAAGTGAAATGTCCTAAAATATCCATTGTATACCAAACCGACATCTGAGGGTCAGGAGAGTTTTGGATATGAAATGTTACATACATAGTTACATAGTTAGTCTGGCTGAAAAAAGACAAAAGTCCATCCAGTTCACCACAAGTTCAACAACAAAAAAAGTACAATCCCATCTCATGGATGTTTTATGGTTGTCTTCTCTACAGGACGTTCTTGTCCTCAGTCAGTTCATCCGATCAGATGGTGGGATGATCGCGCGCAAAGTGACGGGCCTGTGTTCGGAGGAACACAAGAAAGTAGAGGCGTGTGTTAAGATGGCCCATCGAGCGGGTAAGAACTGAGCCAACTACTGCTCTCTGTGGGGGGTTGGAGGACAGAAATATTTGAGAGTCGTCACCAGTCTGTGTCTTATGTCCTGTATAAGTTGATGGCCAGCTATATGAAGAAAACACTGCGTGGTTGACAGTAGGGTGGGGTGCAAAAGAATCTGAACAAACTAAATTTCCTCCATGTGGCAACCTGTCTTTGTAAGTGTTTAAAAGCCTCCTCCATGTAGAATGTGAGAGATGGAATTATGCTGGGTGTTTATATCCTAATTGATGAGATTTACATACTAGAATTTCATTTTCTGTCTGACTGATGCAATCATCTGACCACTACTACTACCATCATTACTACCATTACCACTGCCACCACCATCACTACCATCATCACCACTACCATCATCACCACTGCCCACCATCACTACCATCATCACCACTGCCACCACCATCACTACCATCATCACCACTGCCACCACCATCACTACCACTGCCACCACCATCACTCCACTGCCCACCACCATCACTACCACTGCCACCACCATCACTACCACTGCCCCCACCATCACTACCACTGCCACCATCACTACATTAACACTACCATCATCCATTACCACTGCCACCATCACACCACTACCATCCCTACCACTCCACCATCATTACCACTACCATCCATCACCACATCACCACTATCCACCACTACCATCATCACCACTGCCACCACCATCACTACCACATCACCACCATGCCACTGCCACCATCACTACCATGCCACCCACCATCACTACCACTGCCGCCACCATCACTACCACTGCCGCCACCATCACTACCACTGCCGCCACCATCACTACCACTGCCACCACCATCACTACCACTGCCGCCACCATTACCACTGCCACCATCACTACCATTACCACTGCCACCATCCACTACCACCATCACCACTACCATCACTACCACTACCACCATCACTTCCACCACCATCACTACTACCACTCGCACCCATTCCCACTACTACCACTATCACTACCATTATTGTTACCATTCCCACTACCACCACATCACCACTACTACCATCGCTACTACTCCCACTACCATCACCACTACCACCATCGCTGCTATTCCATTCCCACTACCACCATCCATCACCACTACCATTCCCACTACCACCACCATCACCACTACTACCATCGCTACCATTCTCACTACCACCACCACTACCATCCCACTACCACCACCATCCACTACCCATCGCTACTACCACTGCCACCATCACTACCACATTACTGCTACCATTTCCCACTACCACCCATGACCATTACCACCATCGCCACCATTCCCGCTACCACCACCATACCACCACCATCGCTACCGTTCCCTACCATTCACCACTACCACCATCGCTACTATTCCCACTACTACCACGATCACTACCATTATCTGTTTCCCATTCCCACTACCACCACCATCACCATACTACCATCGCTACTACTCCCACTGCCATCACCACTACCACCACTACTACCATCCCTATTCCCACTACCACCACCATTACCACCATCGCTACCATTCCCACTACCACCACCATCACCACTACCACCATCGCTACCATTCTCACTACCACCACCACTACCATTCCCATTACTACCACTACCACCATCTCTACCATTACCCCTACCACCACTATCACCACTTTTATTATGGCCATGTGGGAGGGGCAGAGACAAAAAACACTTCAGGAAGATCTTGTGAAAACCCTTCCACGGAAGGTGTAGGCTGTTATAGCCACAAAAGAGAGTCAACTTCATATTAATGTTCATGGATTTTGAAGGTCAGGAGTGTCCCTTCCTTTCGTGGTGACAAGCTCCCTCTCCTTTATGAGGTTATACATGGAGGAGGTGATTGGCATAATGCCTTTCTGAGTAATTGATATCTGTCAAGTGATCACAGTAATATTTTTTCTATCTGCAGGCCTTTTGCCAAACCACAGGCCCATACTTCCAGAAGGAGTTGTGCCCAAGCCAAAATTCCAGCTAAACAGGTGAGCCACAACTCGGGGTATCCAGATGAAAGCTGTATTTATTTTGTCGTAGTGGGAATAGGCTTGACTAAATCTGTAACGGGGGCGATAATCTCTGTCCCCTCCAACTCTATAGGGTGACCCCACTCTGCCCTGTCCCATTTCCTGTAGCCATAATATAGAAGCTGAGCGAATAAGACTGTTTTTTCAGTTCAAAGCGGTGGCAGGGTCTGTGGTCCTCACATTGCGGGGGCAGGGTCTGTGGTCCTCACATAGCAGGGCAGGATCTCTGGTCCTCACATAGCGGGGCTGGGTCTCTGGTCCTCACATAGCAGGGCAGGATCTCTGGTCTTCGCATAGCGGGGCAGGATCTCTGGTCCTCACATAGCAGGGCAGGATCTCTGGTCTTCGCATAGCGGGGCAGGGTCTCTGGTCCTCACATAGCAGGGCAGGGTCTCTGGTCTTCACATAGCGGGGCAGGGTCGCTGGTCCTCGCATAGCGGGGCAGGGTCTCTGGTCCTTGCATAGAGGGGCAGGGTCTCTGGTCCTCGCATAGCGGGGCAGGGTCTCTGGTCCTCGCATAGCGGGGCAGGGTCTCTGGTCCTCGCATAGCGGGGCAGGGTCGCTGGCCCTCGCATAGCGGGGCAGGGTCGCTGGCCCTCGCATAGCGGGGCAGGGTCGCTGGCCTCGCATAGCGGGGCAGGGTCGCTGGCCCTCGCATAGCGGGGCAGGGTCGCTGGCCCTCGCATAGCGGGGCAGGGTCGCTGGCCCTCGCATAGCGGGGCAGGGTCGCTGGCCCTCGCATAGCGGGGCAGGGTCGCTGGCCCTCGCATAGCGGGGCAGGGTCTCTGGCCACGCGCATAGCGGGGCAGGGCCTCTGGTCCACGCGCAGCGGGGCAGGGCCTCTGGTCCACGCGCAGCGGGGCAGGGCCTCTGGTCCACGCGCAGCGGGGCAGGGCCTCTGGTCCACGCGCAGCGGGGCAGGGCCTCTGGTCCACGCGCAGCGGGGCAGGGCCTCTGGTCCACGGTCTCTGGTCCTCACGCAGCGGGGGGGCCTCTGACCCTCTCAGCGGGGCAGGGCCTCTGGTCTCTGGCCTCACGCAGGGGGGGCAGGCCCTCTCCGGTCCTCACGCAGCATAAAGGATGGAAGGTTGGCTAATAGTTCCACACACATTCACTGTATTGTTTCTTTTTTATTGTCACTTCACACTGTTTTGTGCCTTTAATTTTTAAGATACTTGCAGACAAACCGTACTATTTCTCTAGTATGATTTCCTCTTAACATTGGATTAGGTCAGTTTTTCTGGTCCCTCTTCCCTACCCCTCCTCTCTATCCTCCTCCTCTCTATCCTCCTCTCTATCCTCCTCCTCTCTATCCCCTCCTCTTATCCCCTTTCTCAGCCCTCCTCTTCATCTCCCCTCTACGTCTCTGTCCAGGTTTATTTGTGAGGAGATAATTTTGTTATATTTCTTTACTAAAGATTATCTCTGCATAAGTAGCTGTTTCATTATGCAGTTAGTTTATTTGCCCGGTCCTATGCCCCTGCTCTTGGTCTGTTCCCATCCTCGCCCATCACACTGATATAATGTCTATATGGCTGCTTTCCCTGCAGGTATCTGACTCGTTGGTCTGTGTCCAGCGCTCGGCCAATCCTCAAGAAAGGACTTAAGTGGTGCAAAGTGAAAATGCCAGTTGGGGACCCCATCATGAAGGATAATGTGCGCTACAGTAAAAAAGCTCTCTTGTACAGACAATGAACTATCATATCAAATAAATGTCTTTCTTTTCCTTAAATGCTTCTTGTAGATCTTTATTGTACATAGGATGAACATGGGTGGGATCTGTACATAGGATGAACATAGGTGGGATCTGTACATAGGATGAACATGGGTGGGATCTGTACATAGGATGAACATGGGTGGGATCTGTACATAGGATGAACATGGGTGGGATCTGTACATAGGGTGAACATGGGTGGGATCTGTACATAGGGTGGACATGGGTGGGATCTGTAGATAGGGTGGACATGGGTGGGATCTGTAGATAGGGTGGACATGGGTGGGATCTGTAGATAGGGTGAACATGGGTGGGATCTGTAGATAGGGTGAACATGGGTGGGATCTGTAGATAGGGTGGACATGGGTGGGATCTGTAGATAGGGTGGACATGGGTGGGATCTGTAGATAGGGTGGACATGGGTGGGATCTGTAGATAGGGTGGACATGGGTGGGATCTGTGGATAGGATGGACATGGGTGGGATCTGTGGATAGGATGAACATGGGTGGATCTGTGGATAGGGTGGACATGGGTGGGATCTGTGGATAGGGTGGACATGGGTGGGATCTGTGGATAGGGTGGACATGGGTGGGATCTGTGGATAGGGTGGACATGGGTGGGATCTGTGGATAGGGTGGACATGGGTGGGATCTGTGGATAGGGTGGACATGGGTGGGATCTGTGGATAGGGTGGACATGGGTGGGATCTGTGGGATCTGTAGATAGGGTGGACATGGGTGGGATCTGTAGATAGGGTAGGGTGGACATGGGTGGGATCTGTGGATAGGGTGGACATGGGTGGGATCTGTGGATAGGGTGGACATGGGTGGGATCTGTGGATAGGGTGGACATGGGTGGGATCTGTAGATAGGATGGACATGGGTGGGATCTGTGGATAGGATGGACATGGGATGGATCTGTGGATAGGATGGACATGGGATGGATCTGTGGATAGGATGGACATGGGTGGGATCTGTGGATAGGATGAACATGGGTGGGATCTGTGGATACGATAAACATGGGTGGGATCTGTCACTGGACTTATAATTTTTAATTTTTATATATGTTTTTTATATCAATATATGTTCTTTATATATATTTTTTATTAGGATGAACATGGGTGGGATCTGTGGATAGGGATGAACATGGGTGGGATCTGTGGATAGGATGGACATGGGTGGGATCTGTGGATAGGGTGGACATGGGTGGGATCTGTGGATAGGGTGGACATGGGTGGGATCTGTGGATAGGGTGGACATGGGTGGGATCTGTGGATAGGGTGGACATGGGTGGGATCGGTGGATAGGGTGGACATGGGTGGGATCGGTGGATAGGGTGGACATGGGTGGGCTTTGGGCGGATCTGTGGATAGGGTGGGCTTTGGGCGGATCTGTGGATAGGGTGGGCATGGGGCGGATCTGTAGATGTTACATATGCATTGTAGAACTATACATAAGGTTTGCAGATCTGAAGATAGGGTGGCACGGGGGCAAATCTATGGATAGGGTGGGCATGGGGCAAATCTGTGGATAGGGTGGGCATGGGGCGGATCTGTGGATAGGGTGGGCTTGGGGCGGATCTGTGGATAGGGTGGGCTTGGGGCGGATCTGTGGATAGGGTGGGCGTGGGGCGGACCTGTGGATAGGGTGGGCGTGGGGCGGACCTGTGGATAGGGTGGGCGTGGGGCGGACCTGTGGATAGGGTGGGCGGACCTGTGGATAGGGTGGGCGTGGGGCGGACCTGTGTACAGGGTGGGCGTGGGGCGGACCTGTGTACAGGGTGGGCGTGGGGCGGACCTGTGGATAGGTGGGGGCGTGGGTGGGATCGGTGGATAGGGTGGGCGTGGGTGGGATCGGTGGATAGGGTGGACGTGGGTGGGATCGGTGGATAGGGTGGACGTGGGTGGGATCGGTGGATAGGGTGGACGTGGGTGGGATCGGTGGATAGGGTGGGATCGGTGGACAGGGTGGGCATGGGTGGGATCGGTGAAGTTTATTTTTTGGGCAAATGTAGCGCCTATCTATTTATATTTTATTTGCATGTTGTAAGTGTTAATCACACGTAATTAGGGGCAGCTTCACTTAGAATAGAATAACAATGAGACAAGATTTGTCCAGGGTCACTACAGTCGGCCCAAGTTTTGGGGACCATACACTATATAGAATGATTGATTAGTTATAGGGATTATTTGTATATACATATCCCCCATATATATATATACACAAACAATTGTGTTAGGCCCCACACCGTAGTATGAGAAACATCCCCATATCATGATGCTTGCACCACCATGCTTCACGGTCTTCACAGTGTACTGTGGCTTGAATTCAGTGTTTGGGGGTCGTCTGACAAACTGTCTCCGCCCACTAGACCCAAAAAGAACAATCTTACTTCCATCAGTCCACAAAATGTTGCGCCATTTCTCTTTAGGCCGGTCAATGTGCTCTTTGGCAGATTGTAACCTCTTCAGCACACGTCTTTTTCCCAACAGTGGGACTTTGCGGGGACTTCTTGCAGATAGCTTGGCTTCACATCGGCGTCTTCTAATTGTAACAGTCCTCACAGGGAACGTCACACCTTCTTTCCTCTTCCTGGAGCTGATTGTTGGCTGAGTCCGCCCCATTTTGGCTATTCTTCTATCCATTCCAATGGTAGTTTTTCGCTTTCTTCCACGTCTTTCAGGTTTTGGTTGCCATTTTAAAGCATTTGCCATCATTTTAGCTGAGCAGCCGATCATTTTCTGCACTTCTTTATATGTTTTCCCCTCCAATCAACTTTTTAATCAAGGTACGCTGTTCTTCTGAACAATGTCTGGAACGACCCATTTTCCTCAGAATTTCAGAGAGAAATGCACTGTAACCACCATGTACAACATTTGCTGCCTTCCTTCCTTAAATAAGGGCAATAATTGCCACCTGTTTTTCAAAGAATGAATGACCTCACTAATAGAACTCCACACTGCTATTATATTGAACACACCCCTTTCAATGAGTGATTCAATGACACAGAATCAGCAGCATGCATGTCATGACTGTCGGGTCTGTTGGATTTCTATTACTCTACTACACCTGATAGGAAATTATTTGCCATGTAGAAATATCATTTCCACCAAAAACAGGCTTGTGTGTGAGTGACAGGTACTCTTAGAAAATTACACAGAATTTGTAGGAAGAATAAAGTTTATTGATAAATAGAGGCTGATGAAGTATCTCTGGATTGATCACGTATTTCTATGAAGCAAAATGTCTTATAACTGCAGATTTACTCATGAACTGTATCTTCATCTTTAGGGAACGTGTTGTGACGATTCAGCCTGACGGAAGTCCGCTTTAGGGCCCCATGTACACTGCAGCTAATAAACTGACGTTCAGGATCTGTTCAGCATTTTTTTTTCCAGCAGCCCCTGAACTCCCCCTAATGTCCTCCTATGTCTCCATGTACACATCATCCTTTACAGGCAGTTGAGGTTACAGTTGTTTTTTTTTAATGCACCAAACTTGCGTTCAGGAGTAGATTTTACCGCTGTTTCAAACGCTTGTAAACGTGGTTAACCGTGTTTATAAGCGTTTGCGTTTAGAACCTTTTTGTAACTGTTCCATATCCAGATGCTGTCCAGAACCTTTTTTCATCATCAGAAATGCATGCGAAGCGTTTTCCATGTATTCAAATGGACCCGGTACACCAGCGCAGTCAGCTCCAGGTTTCACGTGAAGGAAAACAATGGTAGAACGCGCCGCATTATGCTCATGATGGGATCCATAGTGAATACAACCAGAAAAGACCGGTCATCTCAACACATACTGCTCTCTCTGCTTCTGCTCTCTCTATTTCTCTCAAAATGTCTGAAATAGTTCATTATTTACTCATTTTCAGTGCATTCTGGGCATTTGGGAGGGTCTCCTGAGGTTAGCTGTTAAAAACATGCATAAACGTGGTATGCAAACGTGGCTAAACTAACATTTTTTTTAACCTACATTTTCCAGCAGTTTCCATCGTTCAGAAGAGTTTTCCAAACGCCCCGTGTACATGAGCCCTAAAGGAGAAGTTCACTTTTTTAAAAAAAAATAATTGCACATTTTTTTTCAGGTAAAAAAAAAAAAGTGCATTTATTATATTTTGTTTCTGGAGCCTCTACAGCAGCGGTTCTCAACCTGTGGGTCACGACCCCTTTGGGGGTCAAACGACCCTTTCACAGGGGTCTCCTAAGACCATCGGAAAACACATATTTCCGATGGTCTTAGGAACCGAGACACCGCTGTCAAGACACGTGTCAATCACACCTGGGCACGCCCCCCTCTCTCCGGGTAGGGGGATTTAACTCCCTCTGCCTTCGCTGATTGGTAGACCGGTCCGTCCCTGATTGGTTGGGTTTTGTGCCGGAACGCGCGCAGCTGTTTGAAGCGGAGGATTTGTGCGGAGATCTCCCGCCGCTCCGATCATTCTGAAGTTTCCCGCCCTGAACGACCCGACCGGCCGACCCCATGAACTGCCTGAACGTGGCCAATGTCATGCCCGGATCACTTAACAAGATCAGGGGGCAGATCCAGGTTAGTACCTACCCCATCGTACAAGTGGGGGGGCTCTCATTGTACCCCACCCCAGATAAATTATTATGGGAGGCAGATATATAATTTATGGGGGTGATACATTATTATAGAGGGGGAGAAGGGCAGACAAACTATCATTTGGGGGGGCATTTTTATAGGGATGAGGGGCAGATTATTTGGGGGGGGGGGGTAATCATTATTGGGGCAGATGTATTTTTATGGGGGTGATAGATCATTATAGAGGGGGGGGGCTATCATTATTGGGGACAGATGTATTTTTATGGAGGTGATAGGTCATTATAGAGGGGGGTGGGGTAATCATTATTATTGGGGGCAGATGTATTTTTATGGGGGTGATAGGTCATTATAGAGGGGGGTGGGGTAATCATCATTATTGGGGGCAGATGTATTTTTATGGGGGCGATAGGTCATTATAGGGTGGGGTAATCATTATTGGGGGCAGATGTATTTTTATGGGGGTGATAGGTCATTATAGAGGGGGGGGTGGGGGTAATCATTATTAGGGGACAGATGTATTTTTATGGGGGGTGATCGGTCATTATAGAGGGGGGTGGGGTAATCATTATTATTAAGGGCAGATGTATTTTTATGGTGGTGATAGGTCATTATAGAGGGGGGTGGGGTAATCATCATTATTGGGGGCAGATGTATTTTTATGGGAGCGATAGGTCATTATAGGGTGGGGTAATCATTATTGGGGGCAGATGTATTTTTATGGGGGTGATAAAAATATTTCACAATATATAATTACATAATGTTTTTGTGATTAATCACTATGCTTTAATTATGTTCAAATTATAACAATAAAAATACATCCCGCATATCAGATATTTACATTACGATTCATAATAGCAAAATTACAGTTATGAAGTAGCAACGAAAATAATTTTATGGTTGGGGGGGGGGGGTCACCACAACATGAGGAACTGTATTAAAGGGTCACGGCATTAGGAAGGTTGAGAACCACTGATCTAAAGCATTGCGCCTGCGATCTGCTGATTGCTGGTGCCATGTAGGTCTCCTGCAGACCTGTCATTATATCTGCTTTCCCGTATGGGATGTACAGTCAAGCAGATATACTGACAGGAAGAATCAACGAACTACCATGGCCCTCCTCAGCACTGTGGCAGTTCATGGAGAACTACAAGCCAACAGCCGCAAAGGCTGGCGGTACTTGTAGTTTATTCATTCACAGGACATCATGAATGACGCGGATGTGTCCGTTTTAAAAAAAATTGTGACAGCTAGAGGGGGTGGTATGTTTGTAACATGTTACACTCTGCATATGGCTGTAACGTGTTACAAAAAGTGAACTTATCCTTTAGGGCTCGTTCACACTTGGCTTTATTTCTAACTCTAACGCCCCCTATAGCGTTTGACAGGCGTTTGGGAAGCGTTTTTAACGCTCCTCAAATGCTCCCAAAATGCCCAATGCGCGGTTTTGAGGCGGTTGATAGGCGTTTGCCAAGCATTAAAACCGCACCACAAACTCCTATAATGAACTTAAATGGTATTAACGCACCGCAAACGCCTGCCAGGTGAGGAGAGGCACCGTAGACTTGAATGGGAGGCTTCAACTCCTCCTGACTCCACACAAGTTATCAGTTTTGCGACACTAACACTTCAGTGTGAACAGCACTATGTGCTGCCATGTGCAGAATTTTCAATGCGTTTGAGAATTCCCAAACGCCTGTCTGACGCCGGCTGACAAAGCTAGTGTGAACTGAGACTTAAAGTACATGGAAACCCTCACCTTGTAAAACAATCCATTCAGTTTAAAATCGAAAACATTATGTATGGATATAATAAAACATTATAAATACTTTTTTTTTTTTTTTTTATATAGTGATCACATTCCCATTGTTCTCAGCTGCATAAGAGCTGGGGGGAGGAAACCAGCAGCCCATTGGTCTTCCCAGTGAATGGATGTTTGGGGGGGGTGTCCAGACAAGACTGATCATTGGAGGAGAGCAGGCTGAGTTCCCAGCACCCTCACCTTGTAAAACAACCCATTCAGTTTAAAATAGAAAACATTATGTATGGATATAATAAAACATTATAAATACCTTTTTTTTTTTTCTTTTTTTTTTCTTTTTTTTTTTTAATAAGTGATCACATTCCCTCTGTTCTCAGCTGCATAAGAGCTGGGGGAGGAAAACCAGCAGCACATTGGTCTTCCCAGTGAATGGATGTTTGGGGAGGGGGGGTCCAGAGAAGACTGATCATTGGAGGAGAGCAGGCTGAGTTCCCAGCATAGCTAGAGAACTGACCACGCTGTGCTCTCATACCTAGTGTGGTCAGTCTTAAATAGGAAAGCAGAGGGGCTGGCAGGTCCACCAGTGATTTCACACAAAGGAAGCAATAAAGAGGACAGGAGACATTTTCAAGTACAGAAATATGAAATGTTAGGTTTACATATTTTATGAGACTGAGTGCCCCATTTTTAGTAAATCTCCCCCATAGTTCCATGGACTCCACCGGCGGCAGAGATGTCCTGGATGATGTGCTGACACGTCCTGCGTACTCAGATCATGAAGGGTAAGTCGTCGTTCCGCTCCCCAGTCCCGATGTAGACAGAACCGTACTGTGGGGTGAGTGGGACGTGATAGAAAGTCATTCCGATCCAAAGGAGGCTGCGAAGGACGACCACGCTGTTCCCCTGCTCAAACTGCAAACTCCAGCACCCTGTGAGGAGAGACACAAGGGGACCACTATGAGAGGAGACATACAATGGAGCTCATGAACAACACTTTACCCCGTGTCGTAAACGTTTGGCTGTGATACAGCTGCCCCCGCAAAACCACCCAGGTACCTGTCCATCAAGTGGTTAGTTTTTCTCCCTCACAATCACAAATAAAGGAGTGTAGCTGCATTCCGGGATAAAAACCCACCATTAGGATTTAGGAATCCACAGCGATGCAAGGCAGACCAGCTGAACTCCGCCCTCTGACACATAATTGCGAGCATATTCAGCGAAAGGGCGTTACCAGGTGGGGGCATTTTATACACGGGTCCATTTAAAAATTTGTAACTAATTTTGCAGCACTTTACATTTATATTGTATTCACATCAGTCCCCGCCCCCGAGGGGCGTACGATCTAAGGTCCCTAACTCACATTCATACATACACATACTAGGGCCAATTTAGACAGGAGACAATTCACCTACCAGCATGTCTACCTCCAGATAGAGACTACAGCCCCCCCCCCCCACCGCAAGAAAGGAAACTGTTTTAGAGTGACGAATCCCACCGAGATGTGACCGAGACACAGAGGAAATATAGAGACCCTGACCACATGGAGACAAAGACTGACACACTCAACACAGGAAACATCCACCAGACATGTAAAGTCTGCCACGTGCTGTATGTGAGGTACAACCGACACCACAATGAGGGCCACTTATTCCAGGTACTTATATAGCGCTGTCAATGTACACAGCGCTTTACATATATATTGTACATTTACATCAGTCCCTGCCCCCGAGGAGCGTACAATCTAAGGTCTCTAACTCACATTCATACATACACATACTAGGGCCAATTCACCTACCAGCATGTCTTTGGAGTGCGGGAGGAAACTGGAGTACCCGGAGGAAACCCACGCAGGCACAGGGAGAACATGCAAACTCCAGGCAGGTGGTGCCGTGGCTGGGATTCGAACCAACGACCCGAGTACTGCCAGGCGGAAGTGCTAACCATTTACATCATGATATAAAGCAGCCTATTTAAATGGTTACTTTAACCACTTGCCTACCAGGCACTTATACCCCCTTATTTACCAGGCCAATTTTTAGCTTTCAGCGCTGCCGCACTTTGACAATTGCGCGGTCATGCAACATTGTACCCATATGAAATTTTGATCATTTTTTTCTCACAAATAGAGCTTTCTTTTGGTGGTATTTAATCGCCACTGGGCGCTTTACTTTTTGCGCTATAAATAAAAAAAGTGCAAAAAATTTGAAAAAAAAAAAAAAAAGTTTCTTTGTTTCTATTATAAAATTTTTCAAACAGGTATTTTTTCTCCTTCACTGATGTGCGCTGATGAGGCAGCACTGATGGCACTGATAGGCAGCACTGATGGGCACTGATAGGCAGCACTAAAGGGCACTGATAGGCAGTACTGATGGGCACTGATAGGCAGCACTAAAGGGCACTGATAGGCAGTACTAATGAGGTGGCACGGATAGGCGGCACTGATAGGCGGCACTGATGATGGGTACTGATAGACGGCACTGACTGGCATCACTGCTGGGCACTGACTGGCGGCACTGACTGCCACAACCCCTGGGCACTGACTGGTGGCACTGACTGGCAGCACTGCTGGGCTGCACAGGTGGGTGGGCACAGGTGGGTGGCACTGCTGGGCACAGGTAGGTGGCACTTCTGGGCACAGGTGTGTGACACTGCAGAGTGGCACAGGTGGGTGCACTGCTGGGCACAGGTGGGTGATCTGCTGGGCACAGGTGGGCGGAGCTAGTGGGCGCACTGCTGGGCACAGGTGGGCGGAACTTGCGGGTGGCACTGCTGGGCACTGATCATCAGGGCCCTGATGATCGGTGCCGATCCCCGCTCTGACAACTGCCGGTTCTCGGCAGTACTTTCCTCACGATCTGACAGCGTGAGGAAAGTGCAGCCGAGAACCGGCACTTGCATTTCCCTCTGATCAGCGTGTCATTGGACACTGCTGATCACGTGGTAAAAGGCCGCTGTGATTGGCCTTTTACCACATCACGTGATCAGCTGTGTCCGTAGGACACAGCGATCACGGAGATCGCCGGGTGCGCGCCCCCTGGGCCGCGCAGGAGAGCGCGTTCTGGGGGGACGTCATATGACGCCCACTCAGAACTGGCCGGCCGCAGTGCAGCCGCCATTCGGCTATCTGCGGTCGGCAGGTAGTTAAAATACAATGTTCCCTGCATTCCAGAGTCTGCAGACTTTTTATTATCAAAAGAAAACTGGCCCAAAATAGTAAAAAAAAAGATATACTTTTAAAATTTTTAGCAGTATATTTCTTGCTTTTACCATAATTTACCACCAAAGAACAACCCTAAATAAATTCTCCTATTCCTGAGGATTGCAGTGATAACACATACATGTGTTTAGTTGTTTGTACCCGCAGTACGGCCCGGAAACAATGGGGGGCATTTTACATTTCTTATCCTGCCTAGAACACAATGTAACGAATTAAAAAAAAAAAAAAAAGTTTTTTTAATTCTACCCAAAATATACTGACTGTGACCTTTGACCCTGATCCTAACATTAACCCTAGCAAACAAGCAGACTAAGGACATGGATTACTGGAACCATGTCCTGTGGTCTGATGACACCAAGATCAACTGATTGGGTTCAGATGGTGTCAGGCGTGTGTGGCGGCAACCAGGTGAGGAGTACAAAGACAAGTGTGTCTTGCCTACAGTCAAGCATGGTGGTGGGAGTGTCATGGTCTGGGGCCCCATGGTGGTGGGAGTGTCATGGTCTGGGGCCCCATGGTGGTGGGAGTGTCATGGTCTGGGGCTGCATGAGTGCTGCCGGCACTGGGGGGCTACAGTTCATTGAGGGAACCATGAATGCCAACATGTACTGTGACATACTGAAGCAGAGTATGATCCCCTCCCTTCGGAGACTGGGCCGCAGGGCAGTATTCCAACATGATAACGACCCCAAACAGACCTCCAAGACCACCACTGCCTTGCTAAAGAAGCTGAGGGTGAAGGTGATGGACTGGCCAAGCATGTCTCCAGACCTGAACCCTATTGAGCATCTGTGGGGCATCCTCAAACGGAAGGTGGAGGAGCGTAAGGTCTCTAATATCCACCAGCTCCGTGATGACGTCATGGAGGAGTGGAAGAGGGAAGGTGGAGGAGCGCAAGGTCTCTAATATCCACCAGCTCCGTGATGACGTCATGGAGGAGTGGAAGAGGACTCCAGTGACAACCTGTGAAGCTCTGGTGACCTCCATGCCCAAGAGGGTGAAGGCAGTGCTGGAAAATAATGGCGGCCACACAAAATATTGACACTTTGGGCCCAATTTGGACCTTGTCACTTAGGGGTGGACTCACTTTTGTTGCCAGCGGTTTAGACATTAATGGCGGTGTGTTGAGTTATTTTGAGGGGACAGCAAATTTCCATGTTATACAAGCTGAGCGCAAGGTCTCTAACATCCACCAGCTCCGTGATAACGTTGTGGAAGAGGACTCCAGTGGCAACCTGTGAAGCTCCGGTGACCTCCATGCCCAAGAGGGTTAAGGCAGTGCTGGAAAAACCAGAGTACCCTGAGGAAACCCACGCAGGCACAGGGAGAACATGCAAACTCCAGGCAGGTGTTGCCATGGTTGGGATTTGAAACACTGACCCGAGTACTGCCAGGCGGAAGTGCTAACCATTGAGCCACTGTGCTGCCCCAATAAAAATCTAACCATCTCCACGTTTGTAGTTGTACTTTAACGTTTATTGAGATTTTAAAAATATGAATAAACCAATAAACCTGATTTTGCTCCGATCGCCCAATAAAAATAATAAATCCCACATTATAATATCAGAAGCAAACAAGACTATCCAATACAGTCGATCATAATATTTATTAGTATGGATTATTAAATCTTAACCCCTTCCCGGCTGTAAGACGTCACATGACTTCCTCGGATTGAAGTGGTTATACCGGGATGATGCCTGCACCTGCAGCCGGCGATTCCCTCTTCAGCAGAAGTGATTCGAGTTTCTAAACAGCCACTCGATTGCTTCTGCGTGTGGCACAAAGGGGTCAACCACCCGTCCCGCCACCACCACCACCACCACCTTTCCTGGGCTCTCCCGCCCGAGCTCTCCATAAAGAGGACCTGTCATGGCCCATGCTTTCACAAGGGATGTTGTTCATCCCTTGTGAAAGCAATAAAGTTGATAAAAAGAGTGTAAAAAAAAAAAGTTTCAAATAAAATAAATAACTTTTTTTGTAAAGTGCCCCCTCCCCCCGTGCTTACATGCAAATACATAGTAGGTCCTGCGTGTATATGTAAAAGGTAATCACACCACACTTGTCAGATATCATCGCGGACGTCAGAGTGAGAAAAGTCATTCTAGTTCCAGACCTCCTGTGCAACTCTAAACTGGTAACTTGTAAAGGCTTTTAAAATGTCACCTATAAAGATTTTTAGGTACCTTAGTTTGGTGCCATTCCACGGGTGTATGCAATTTTAAAGTGTGATATGTTAGGTATGTATTTACTCTGCATAACATCATCTTTTATATTGTAACAAAAATTAGTTAGTATATCGTGTTTGTGTGCAATGAAATTATAGTTTATTCTTTCCTAAAATAATTGCATTCCAAATGCCGTGTGACATAAAACATTGCAACACCCACTATTCCATTCTCTAGGGCCTCTGCTAAAAATATATATACAGTGAAGGAAATGCGTATTTGCTCCCCGGCTGATGCTGAATGTTTGCCCCTCACAAAGAATGATCGGTCTAACAATGGAATGTTCGCCCCTCACAAAGAAATGATCGGTCTAACAATGGAATGTTCGGTGTAACACTGAGAGACAGAATACAACAACAAATTCAGCAGAAATGCGTCTAACAAATGATGACTGATCTGCATGTTTCATGAGGGAAATAAGGATTTGATCCCCTATCATTCAGCAGGATTTCTGGCTACCAGGTGTCTTTCATACAGGTAACAAGCTGAGATTAGAAGCAGTCTCTTAAAGGGAGTGCTGCTAATCTCATTGTGTTACCTGTATAAAGGACACCTGTCCACAGGAGCAATCAAACCATCAGATTCCAAACTCTCCACCATGGCAAAGACCAAAGAGCTGTCCAAGGATGTCAGGGACAAGATTGTAGACCTACACAAGGCTGGACTGGGCTACAAAACTATGGCCAAGCAGCTTGGTGAGAAGGTGACAACAGTTGGTGCAATCATTCACAAATGGAAGAAACACAAAACAAGTGTCAGTCTCCCTAGGTCTGGTGCACCGTGCAAGATCTCACCTCGTGGAGTGTCAATGATCATGAGAACAGTGAGGAATCATCCCAGAACTACACGTGAGGATCTTGTCAATGATCTCCAGGCAGCTGGGACCACAGTCACCAAGAAAACAATTGGTAACACACTACGCCAACAAGGACTGAAATCCTGCAGTGCCCGCAAGGTCCCTCTGCTCAAGAAAGCACATGTCCAGGCCCGTCTGAAGTCTGCCACTGAACATCTGAATAATGCAGAGGAGGACTGGTGGAAGTGTTGTGGTCAGAGGAGACCAAAATCCAGCTCTTTGGCATCAACTCAACTCACCGTGTTTGGAGGAGGAGGAATGCTGCCTATCCCAAGAACACCATCCCAACTGTGAAACATGGTGGTGGAAACATTCTGCTTTGGGGGTGTTTTTCTGCTAAGGGGACAGGACAAACTGCACCGCATCAAAGGGATGATGGACGGGGCAATGTACCATCAAATCTTGGGTGAGAACCTTCTTCCCTCAGCCAGGGCACTGAAAATGGGTGGTGGATGGGTGTTCCAGCATGACAATGACCCAAAACACACGGCCAAGGCAACAAAGGAGTGGCTCAAGAAGAAGCACATTAAGGTCCTGGAGTGGCCTAGCCAGTCTCCAGACCTTCATCTGATTGAAAATCTGTGGAGGGAGCTGAAAGTCCGAGTTGCCAAACGTCATCCACCAAACCTTAATGACTTGGAGAGGATCTGCCAAGAGGAGTGGGCCAAAATCCCTCCTGAGATGTGTGCGAACCTGGGGGCCAACTCCAGGAAACGTCTGACCTCTGTGATTGCCAACAAGGGATTTGCCACCAAGTACTAAGTCATGTTTTGGGAAGGGGATCAAATCCTTCTTTCCCTCATGAACATGCAGATCAGTCATCATTTGTTAGACGCATTTCTGCTGAATTTGTTGTTGTATTCTGTCTCTCAGGGTTACAATACACCGAACGTTCGATTTTTAGACCGATCATTTCTGTGTGAGGGGCGAACTTTCAACATCAGCAGGGGAGCAAATACACATTTCCTTCACTGTATAATGTTTGGGGGTTCCAAGTAATTTTCTAGCAAAAAAAATACTGATTTTTACATGAAGGAGAGAAGTGTCAGAACGCCCGGTGGGGAAGCGGTTAATGGCGGCATTTGTCATGGAGTGCAGCTACTTTCATTTTCATGTTACAAACTTTCAGATCCATTTCTGGGGGAATATTAAGAAAATGTAAACTATTTAAAAAAAATGTACATTTCAGGCCTGTTTTCCTCTACAAAATCCCGGCACCTAGCTGGTTGCCATTAGTTACAGCAAGGCGCGGCACTTCGTGTGATGTCTGCGTCTCGGGAAGAGCCTGCTATCCAACCGCTGAGCGTCAGAGTGGAAAATTTTCCCAGTGATTTGTTTTCCCTGCAATGAAAACCAGATTGTATTTTCTTTGTGGCACCTGCCAAGGGCCAGCTGTGTGAGACTTGGGGCCCCGGGGCATAGGAAAGGGTGCGGTGTAGGCATACGACACGTGGGAAATCTTCAGACAGGCGCGGTTCAATGTCAGCTGATCCGGCCTAACGGGGCTGATGGTGTGGAAGTAATCTTCACTCACTTCTGGGTCTGTAATTACTAACAGAGATGTTATTAGATGCTGCTAGAGTGTTACCGGATGAGACCTGAATCCAGACTTCACTAGAAGAGCAAAAAGTCTGAAAGTGACCCAGGAGAACCGGCGCTCCCAATTCAACCAAAAATGGGCACATAGCAGAGCGTCTGAGAAATTAAACATCTCAGTCTATTCCTCATAACAAGCAATAAAAAATGATTCTGTCCTGAAAAATCTCCCACAATGGGGAGATTTCCCTCCAGCAGTTTGTGTCTCTGCCCCTCCCACAATGGGGAGATTTTCCTCCAGTAGTTTGTGTCTCTGCCCCTCCCACAATGGGGAGATTTCCCGCAGTAGTATGTGTCTCTGTCCCTCCCACAATGGGGAGATTTCCCGCAGTAGTATGTGTCTTGGCCCCTCCCACAATGGGGAGATTTCCCGCAGTAGTATGTGTCTTGGCCCCTCCCACAATGGGGAGATTTCCCGCAGTAGTTTGTGTCTCTGCCCCTCCCACAATGGGGAGATTTCCCGCAGTAGTATTTGTCTCTGCCCCTCCCACAATGGGGAGATTTCCCGCAGTAGTTTGTGTCTCTGCCCCTCCCACAATGGGAAGATTTCCCGCAGTAGTTGTGTCTCTGCCCCTCCCACAATGGGGAGATTTCCCGCAGTAGTATGTGTCTCTGCCCCTCCCACAATGGGGAGATTTTCCGCAGTAGTATGTGTCTTGGCCCCTCCCACAATGGGGAGATTTCCCGCAGTAGTATGTGTCTCGGCCCCTCCCACAATGGGGAGATTTCCCGCAGTAGTATGTGTCTCTGCCCCTCCCACAATGGGGAGATTTCCCGCAGTAGTTTGTGTCTCTGCCCCTCCCACAATGGGGAGATTTCCCGCAGTAGTTTGTGTCTCTGCCCCTCCCACAATGGGGAGATTTCCCGCAGTAGTATGTGTCTTGGCCCCTCCCACAATGGGGAGATTTCCCGCAGTAGTATGTGTCTCTGCCCCTCCCACAATGGGGAGATTTCCCGCAGTAGTTTGTGTCTCTGCCCCTCCCACAATGGGGAGATTTCCCGCAGTAGTATGTGTCTCTGCCCCTCCCACAATGGGGAGATTTCCCGCAGTAGTATGTGTCTCTGCCCCTCCCACAATTGGGAGATTTCCCGCAGTAGTTTGTGTCTCTGCCCCTCCCACAATGGGGAGATTTCCTCCAGTAGTTTGTGTCTCTGCCCCTCCCACAATGGGGAGATTTCCCGCAGTAGTTTGTGTCTCTGCCCCTCCCACAAGGCTATAATGAAGGTAGGTTGGGTGGGACCGGGGAGGTGGGTAGTTTAGAAGGTATACAGACCAGCAGGTGATGAACTTTCTAGCAACCACCAGAACTGGAATTACTTTCAGCAGTGTTTGGTTTTGAACATGGATGGACATACCTGTCTGAGCCACCCTCCTGGAAGCGGTCACTGAGGACAACCAATCATAAGCGGCCAACGCATTACCTTCTCCATAGCCGTGTGTGTTCCGGGCACTTGTATATGTGTGGCTGCAGGGTGGGGAATGTCTTGGCTGCTTCTGATTGGTTGTCCTCAGTGATAGCTTCCTGGCAGGATAGATCATGGGGGTTTGGTATCGGAACTGGCCTGAGCTTATCTCTACTTTTGAAGAAAAACTGCCAATAGCAACTAATCAGATCCTAACAATGATGTCACCATTGATGACATCTGACTGGTGACTATAGAACTGTCACTTATAAAGATGAGGCCACATATAAGAGCTAACCCTGGTGTCTGCAACTGTCCTGTCCCAGTGTCTGTGGCCACCCTTCCTGCCCTGGTGCCAACGGCTGCTCTGGCCTCTGTGGCCACTCTTCCCCTGCCCTGGCCTCTGTGGCCACTCTTCCCCTGCCCTGGCCTCTGTGGCCACTCTTCCCCTGCCCTGGCGCCAGTGGCTGTCTTGACCTCTGTGGTCATCCTGCCTGCCTAGGCGCCAGCGGCTGCCCAGACCTCTGTGGCTGTCCTTCCTGCCCTAATGCCAGCAGCTTTCCTGGCCTCTGTGGGCCCCCTTGCTGCCTGGCGCCAGTGGCTGTCCTGACCTCTGTGGTCGCCCTTCCTGCCTTAGTGTCCTTCCTGCCCTGGCGCCAGTGGCTGTCCTGACCTCTGTGGCTGCCCTTCCTGCCCTGACACCAGCGGCTGTCCTGGCCTCTGTGGACCCCCTTCCTACCCTGGCGCCAGTGGCTGTCCTGACCTCTGTGGTCGCCCTTCCTGCCCTGGCGCCAGCAGCTGTCCTGGCCTCTGTGGGCCCCCTTCCTGCCCTGGCGCTAGTGGCTGTCCTGACCTCTGTGGTCGCCCTTCCTGCCTTGGTGCCAGTGGCTGCCCTGGTCTCTGTGGCCGTCCTTCCTGCCCTGGCGCCAGCGGCTGTCCTGACCTCTGTGGCCGCCCTACCTGCCCTGGCGCCAGCGGCTGTCCTGACCTCTGTGGCTGCCCTTCCTGCCCTGACACCAGCGGCTGCCCTGGCCTCTGTGGCTGTTTTCCTGCCCTGGCGCCAGCGGCCATTCTGACCTCTGTGGCCGCCCTTCCTGCCTTGGTGCCAGCGGCTGCCCTGGCCTCTGTGGCCATCCTACCTGCCCTGGCACCAGTGGCTGTCCTGACCTCTGTGGTCGCCCTTCCTTCCTTGGTGCCAGTGGCTGCCCTGGTCTCTGTGGCCGTCATTCCTGCCCTGGCGCCAGCGGCTGTCCTGACCTCTGTGGCTGCCCTACCTGCCCTGGCGCCAGCGGCTGTCCTGACCTCTGTGGCTGCCCTTCCTGCCCTGACACCAGCGGCTGCCCTGGCCTCTGTGGCTGTTTTCCTGCCCTGGTGCCAGCGGCTGTTCTGACCTCTGTGGCCGCCCTTCCTGCCTTGGTGCCAGCGGCTGCCCTGGCCTCTGTGGCCATCCTACCTGCCCTGGCCCCGGTGGCTGTCCTGACCTCTGCGGCGTCCTTCCTGCCCTGGTGCCAGCGGCTGTCTTGACCTCTGTGGCCACCCTGCCTGCCCTGGCGCCAGCGGCTGCCCTGGCCTCTGTGGCCATCCTCCTGTCCTGGTGCCAGCGGCTGTCCTGACCTCTGTGGCCGCTCTTCCTGCCTTGGTGCCAGTGGCCGCCCTGGCCTCTGTGGCCATTATCCTGCCCTGGCGCCAGCGGCTGCCCTGGCCTCTGTGGCCGTCCTTCCTGACCTGGCGCCAGCGGCTGCCCTGGCCTCTGTGGCTGTCCCTCTTGCCCTGGTGCCAGCGGCTGCCTGACTGTCCACCCTTCCTGTCCTGGTGCCAGCGGCTGCCCTGTCCTCTGCAGCCGCACTTCCACAGTTTCTGCTGTACAGTAACAAGAGATCCGCTCACTGTCAGTCCCATCATCCTCAGGAATGTATCGCTTTGATTTCCCGCCACCTCCTGGCTCAGATGCGGATTATCACCCCGTAAAGCCGAATCCTGGCTTTCTATGATCTCAACACGAAGTGCGCTCCATACAAGGGAATCCAGCAAGCGGCAGACAGGGGGGACACGGGATGGAAGCGCCCTGTACTGGCAGTCCTGTGTAGCGGCATTGTGAGAATTCAGCGCATTACATTGACATGACATTCGCTTTACATTGAGAACATTTTATACCGATGACAGAATCCGCTGCGCGCTCTTCACCTCTCAGTCCTGCTTTTCTATTAGAAGTGTGAAAGCTTTTCTTGCTGCATGTTTAGGGCCGAGATAGATCAGGATTGCTGCACCGCCCCTCATTCTGAATGACCCAACGCACATAGACGGTGCCCTAAGATGGTACTATGCCCAGCCGGTCCAGATTCTGTCTGCTGCCAGTGTTGGTAAATACCTCCCGATGAAGGAGAGCCATCCATCCCAGCTCAATATAAAGCTGATCGAATTCCGTTCCAGCGTTGGGTGACATACGTCCCCCCCCGGCACTTCCAGGTTTTATTTGGAGTGCTAGCACCATAGCCAATCAGATGACAGATCTCCGGATTGGTGCGGGCCGTGCAGTCCATGTTTTTGTGGGCACAGCATCCCATTCATTTGAATAGGCTGCCATGCAGAAAACAGAAAAGAAAGTGTATGCACCTTTATAACCCCTCACCTACCGGGCACTTCTACCCCTGTCCTGTCCAGGCCAATTTCCAGCTTTCAGCACTGTTGCACTTTGAATGACAATTGAGTGGTCATGCAACACTGTACCCATATGAAATTTTTATCATTTTTTTGAGACAGGTAGAGCTTTATTTTAGTGGAATTTGATTACCTCGGGGTTTTTCATTTTTTGCTAAACAAACCAAAAACAACTGAAAATTTTGAAAAAGTTTTTGTTATAAAATTTTGTAAATAAGTGATTTTTTTTTCTCTTTCACTGATGTGCACTAATGAGGCTGCAGTGATGGGCACTGATAGGCTGCACTGATGGGCACTGATAGGTGACACTGATGGGCACTGATGATGAGGCACTGGTAGGTGGCACTGATGGGCACTGACAGGCATCACTGATGGGCACTGAAAGGCAGCACTAATATATGGCACTGATAGGTGGCACTGACTGGCACTGTTAGGTGGCACTGATGCGCATTGATAGGCGGCACTGATTGACAGCACTGATTAGCATTATTAGGTGGCACTGACCGGCACTGATAGGTGGCACTGAAAGGCAGCTCAGATGGGCACTGATATGTGGCATTTTTGTGGCACTGATGGGCACTGGCAGGTGGCATTGATGAGCACTGACAGCTGGCATTGATGGACACTGACAGGTGGCACTGATCATCATGGCATACTGATCATCAGTTCCCTGATGATCAGTGTACATGTCCCCTCTGAGGGATGCCAATTACCGGCTCTCCTCTCCTCTGTCAGCGTGACAGCTATTGAGGAGAGGACTGCTGATAACCGGCATTTCCTCATTTACATGCGGTCAGCTGTGATTGGACACAGCTGATCACACGACCGAGCCGACGTCTTCGGCTCTTTCCATTGACCGGTCATCCGATGTGTCCAAAGGACACAGCGCACCACCGATCGCCACGCTGCGCCCCCCCCCGGAGCTGCGCATGCGCGGCTAGAGTGGGAGGACGTCATATGACGTCCTCCCAGAATGAAAGAACCGCCTTGCGCGCTGTCATTACCTTATATAGCGGGCGGGAGGCGGTTAAACAAGTGGCCGCATGGAAATTTCTGCATCCGCAAACGCACTGCGGTTTGAGATGCGCATAGGTGTAATTCAGAATGAATGGCCACCCCGCATGCCTTATAAGAGCAGCGCGATTTGGCTGCAGGTGGATGCGATTCCTGCAACTAGTCTGCACTGTGTGAACCAGGACTTACGGCTAGTTTACACCATAGAAATATAGACCAGATGCATTCTGGATGCATTTCTCCATGTGCGTTTATGATGCATCCTGGTGCATTCATTTCCCCTCACCATAAACAAGGACGCGCATTCCAGTTGCGTTTTACCACGTTCCAGCACAGTTCAGTGCAAAAAAAAAAAAAAAATGCAACATGCTCTGCTTTTTTTTTTTTTTTCTGGAACTGGAACGCACTGGAACTGACTGTGCTGGTGTGAACTATGCCATTGGAAACCATTAAACCGACCACCCATGCGTATTTGGTTCAAAAAAACAAAAAAAAAAAAAAGCACTGGCCTGCATGTGGTGGGAACCGACCTTCAAATTGTGAAACAATGCACAGCTCAGCGTTCCAGCAATGTGCTGCAAACATAGCATGCTGTGCTACAGGCTGTGCTGGTCTCCAGTTGTGAGCCACGGGACACACAGTATCCCCCAGAAGTGAGTCCCCCCCCCCCCCCTTCTCACATTTGTGTCAATATTTGATTCTCTCTTTTCACGTGACAACACTGAAGAAATGACCCTTTGCTACAATGTGACGTAGTCAGTGTGCAGCTTGTATAACATGGAAATTTGCTGTCCCCTCAAAATAACTCAACACACCGCCATTAATGCCTAAACCGCTGGCAACAAAAGTGAGTAATACAGGACCCCCCCCACAGTTATATCTGAGGGCACCTTTATATCACTGCTGCATATCACTCACCTCTGGGGATATCATGTTCCAAGGAGTCCAGGAAATCTATTGAAGGATCCAGATCAGCCATTTCCAACAGTGACCGTTTCTTGGGGTACACGGTTGGGGTGAAGTGGAAGAATGAACTGAGCTTCTTGGCTTCACTTACTGGAAGACCTGAAAAAAATATAAATAAATATTTTGTATATACACTTCATGCCAACAGTCTGCGAGCACCTGACCATCACACCTAAACGAGCTTGTTGGCCTGAACCATTCAAGAACTATGGCCTTCAATATGGAGTTGTCCCCTTTGTAGATGTACAAGGCACCACTCTATCCACAAGATTTTGAAGGGTGTCTGTGGGAATTTGTTCAAATTTGTGAGTTCAGGTACTAATGTTGGATGAGAAGACCTGGCTCACATTTGGTATTCCAATTCATGTCAAAGGTGTTCCTACTGAACTGGTTGAGGTCAGGGCTCTGTACAGGACACTCGAGTTCCTCCACACCAAACTGGCCAACCCATGTCTTTATGGAGATGTTGGTTGAGATAACCCGGCTCATTCTTTTTCATCCCAAAAGGTGTTCAGTAGGGTTGAGGTCAGGGCTTTGTACAGGACACTCGAGTTCCTCCACACCAAACTGGTCACACCATGTCTTTATGGAGATGTTGGTTGAGATAACCCGGCTCATTCTTTTTCATCCCAAAAAGTGTTCAGTAGGGTTGAGGTCAGGGCTTTGTACAGGACACTCGAGTTCCTCCACACCAAACTGGTCACACCATGTCTTTATGGAGATGTTGGTTGAGATAACCCGGCTCATTCTTTTTCATCCCAAAAGGTGTTCAGTAGGGTTGAGGTCAGGGCTTTGTACAGGACACTTGAGTTCCTCCACACCAAACTGGTCACACCATGTCTTTATGGAGATGTTGGTTGAGATAACCCGGCTCATTCTTTTTCATCCCAAAAGGTGTTCAGTAGGGTTGAGGTCAGGGCTTTGTACAGGACACTCGAGTTCCTCCACACCAAACTGGTCACACCATGTCTTTATGGAGATGTTGGTTGAGAAGACCTGGCTCATTCTAGTTTATCCCAAAGGTGTTCAGTAGGGTTGAGGTCAGGGCTCTGTATGGGACACTCCAGTTCCTCCACACCAAACTGGTCAACCCATGTTTTTATGGAGCTGGCTTTGTACACAGGGAACAGTCATGGTGGAACAGAAAAGCGTCTTCACCAGACTGTTACCACAAGGCTGGAAGACACAATTGTCTACAATGTCCTTGTATGATGGAGTATTAACAGGACCCTTCACTGGAGACACCTGAACTTACTTGTAGGGGGTACACCTCTAATGTAGTGAGGATCAGCTGTCCACTAGACATGTGCATAACAAAAAAATTGGTTTGTTTTGTTAAGTTACTAATTTCATTTTGTTGCATCCGTAGCAAAATTCGTTTCATATTACTTTTCAACCTGATTCAAATTTTTCCAATGGGTTCGTAGTATTTGAATGGAAAATATTGAATCAATCCAAATTCAATGTGAATAGCTGGTTCGAATTTCCAAAGACAGTTATATTCTTTCCTTTCCGTTCTAATCTATTCTATTGTATTCTATTCTTTTGCGTTCTGTTTAACGCTATTCTTTTCTTTTCCATTCAATTCTATTTTACTTTATTCTTTTCTATTCTATTCAAATCTATTCTATTTTTTTCTGTTCTACTCATTTCTATTCTGTTTCTTTATTTTCTATTCTATTCTTTTTCAAAATTCGAACTTCGGAAAATGGCAATATTTTTATTTTATTTATTTCAGGTACTTATATAGTGCTGTCAATTTACGCAGCACTTCACATATATATGTATTGAACATTCACATCAGTCCCTAACCCTCAAGGGGCGTACAGTCTAAGGTCCCTAACTCACCTTCATACATACACATACTAGGGAAAATTTAGACAGGATCCAATTAACCTACCAGCATGTCTTTGGAGCGTGGGAGGAAACCGGAGTACCCGGAGGAAACCCACGCAGGCACAGGGAGAACATGCAAACTCCATGCAGGAGGCGCCATGGTCGGGAATCGAACCTATGACCCATTTACTGCAAGGCAGAAGTGCTAACCACTAAGCCACTGTGCCGCCCATAAAGTACACATAGTCTTTGAAGCAAATCAGCGTTAGTCAGCAATATGTTTCTATTCCAAATATGATTTGAATTTCATTTTATTATTTTGGATTTGTTTATTTATTACAGGTACTTAGTGCAGTTAATTTATGCAGCACTTTACATATACTGTGTGTGTATATATATATATATTCACATCAGTCCCTAACGTACAAACTAAGGTCCCTAACTTACATTCATACATACACATACTAGGGACAATTTAAACAGGAGCCAATCAACCTACCAGCATGTCTTTGGAGTGTGGGAGTAAACCAGAGTACCCGAAGGAAACCCACGCAGGCACAGGGAGAACACACACACTCTAGGCAGGTGGTGTCCTGGTTGAGAGATTCAAACTGATGACCCGAGTACCACCTGGCAGATGTGCTATCCACTGTGCCACCCAATAAATGCGTTACTAAATCCAACATTTCTGAATAACCAAAATTTTCGGGAGTATTTCAATTTGGAACAAAACGAACCGCACGTCTTCTGTTCACTCACATATTTTGAAGGGGATCCACATACTTTTGAGTATATATACTGTATATATTTACATACACACGCCCCACAAGGCACTGGCTGGCAGAACTGTGAATGGTGTGTAGGTGTCACATACACACAGCGAGGGGTTCCAGGGGTTATGACTGATATGGAGATAACAGAATTCTTGTTTTCTCAGTTTTTTAAATAGGTTCTCTGGGTCCCAAAGCTCAGAAGCTTTGTAGAGCTCTGGGTGGGCTCCATTCCTGGGTCCACATCTTGGAGCTCTGGGTGGGCTCCATTCCTGGGTCCACATCTTGGAGCTCTGGGTGGGCTCCATTCCTGGGTCCACATCTTGGAGCTCTGGGTGGGCTCCATTCCTGGGTCCACATTTTGGAGCTCTGGGTGGGTTCCATTCCTGGGTCCACATCTTGGAGCTCTGGGTGGGCTCCATTCCTGGGTCCACATCTTGGAGCTCTGGGTGGGCTCCATTCCTGGGTCCACATCTTGGAGCTCTGGGTGGGCTCCATTCCTGGGTCCACATCTTGGAGCTCTGGGTGGGCTCCATTCCTGGGTCCACATCTTGGAGCTCTGGGTGGGCTCCATTCCTGGGTCCACATCTTGGAGCTCTGGGTGGGCTCCATCCTGGGTCCACATCTTGGAGCTCTGGGTGGGCTCCATTCTCTGGGTCCACATCTTGGAGCTCTGGGTGGGCTCCTCTTGAGTAGCCTCAGGTGTCCACAGGCCTTTATACATGTGAGCCCACTGATGCTCACGGCTCTTTCTCTGCTGTGGCATACTGCTGCTGGGTGAAAAGGCTGATTGCTCATAGAAAACGAGAAGGTACAAGAGCTGCATGTTTGTTTTTGGGTACCCATTAGAAGGCACACTGTTAGTCAGGAACTGACCTGCGTTTAGTTAGTGGCTCAGATGGTGGAGCTGTTGGAGGCTGTGTTGGGCCTCCTGTTCCCTCTCATATTTACCTCGGAAACATGGATTCTTTTTGACCACTCCAAGTGGATTCTTGACGAAGGCTCCTCGCGGTACCGTGGTTGCCTCCTTGTCAATCATGGCGATGGTGGCCACCAGACGCGTCTCCTCTTTGATGTGATTCTGAGTGAGGGAAACAGAACAGAAGGTTTGTCACATCTACCTGGAGTTTCCCATCCAAGTCAACTAAATGAAGAACTCAACCTGACGCCCACCGCCAGCGCTAAAATCACGGCAGTCGGCACAGGCAAGCACTGCCACATACCTGTACGTCACGAGTTTGCTTACAGGTTTTGGCCACGCGTGTGCCCCCCGCTGATCTCTGCTGTGACTGGCCACAGAACAAGTCGATTAGCAGGGTACAGCCAATGATTTTGGCTTTATAACAGCTGATCGGCTGTGGGCAATCACAGAACAGAGACCTGTGTTTACAAATACACAGACTGTGATCCGGCTGATTTTTGTCCCTCAACTCAACTCTGAGTTCAGACAGAAAAAGCAGCCGGATCAGTTAGTGAAAGCAGTACACACTACACTTGTTTAGGCACACAATTAACCACTTGACTGCCTTCCTGATCACCGTCACCCAGCCAGTGTCATTAGTAGAGTGACAGTGTGTAGTATTATCAGGGCTTGAAAAAGCCGCTCGCCCGCTCGCCTAATGCGAGGAGAAATTCCTCTGTGGCGAGCAGCGAGCACAGATGAAGCATGGAGCGACTGCACCTACGCTCCAAGCCTCATTGTCAAACCGAGTTCCGGTCTACAACTTCCGGTTTCTGTGGCACAGCCGCTGAGGGGACAGGTGCATGAGAGGTCCGCTCTCCTCCGCTGAGAGGAGACACCCTCTCCACCGCCGCGGGGGACTCGAGTAAGTACTGTATACATGTCATATCACATATAATGGAGTACGGGGGAGCTGGGATATACATTACTGTGTACAGTTTTATATTTTGGACTCTTTATTCTAAAGAAAAATGTTATTTCATAAGCTTTAAGGGGGCGTGGTTGGGGGTGGTGTTGGGGGGCGGCCTGGGGGTGGGGTTGGAGGCATACCTGGGCAAGGTTGGGTGGGGCAACTGTTGGAGAGTAAGGTTTGAGCCTGGCTAGTAGGTCTAGACTCGAAATTTTAAGCCCTGTATCAGTGTCACTAGCGATGTTAGTGAGCGCCAGATTGCCCACGACGCTATAAGTCACTGGTCACCGTCATTACATGTATAGTCTCTATAGCTTCATAAATTCCAGTGTGTGTGTGTATAATATAATATATATATATATATATATATATATATATATATATATATATATATACATATATAAATAACACACATATATTTACACACACACACACACACAGTTTGTAGACACTAGGACCTTTTACACAAACCAATCAATATACACTTATTGGGATTTTTATTTCACCAAAGACATGCAGCAGATTACATTTTGGCCTACATTTATGAAGAGATTAGATATTTTCTATTTTATTTGAATATGTGTTTTATAACAAAGTAGGACATATGTTTTTTTTCAGCATTTTTATATTTTTTTTCATTTATATAATAATAAATTAAAAAAAAAAAACAGTGGTGATCAAATACCACCAAAAGAAATCTCTGTGTGTGTGAAAAAAATGACTTAAATTTAATTTGGGTACAGTGTTTGCATAACCGTGCAATTGCCAGTTAGCCACTTCAGTACCGGGCTGATTGATATTCTTCTGTTCTCTGTTGGGTATTACATCGCCCTCCAGCAGCCCAGCACAGGATATAGAAAATATACATTAACTGTAAGCACCCATTTATCATCCATCTGTAATATATATATATTTTTTTTTTAATTCTCTTGAATTTTTTTCAAAAAGAAAAAAAGTACAAAACAGAGCCTTTGGGCATTCCCCGGCTTGGGTAGAAAATAAATAATACAACATAAAAAAAAAAACAAAACAAAACCCCATAACAAACCTAATGTAACAACAGCTCACTGTCACCAGCTACCTAGTATATTAGGTAGCTGGTGAGAATTAGTATATTATAATCTAAGATCGGCACAACTCACAAGGAATTATGGTCTCGTCGCACATATGATAGGAAATGGGAGATAGATAGAGGGAACCCTGAAAGTCCCACTGCGCTTCCCAAAGAGTAGGCCAAAGGCACAATGAGTACACTACCCATCTTTAATATTTAACCCCTCGCCTACCGGGCACTTTTACCCCCTTCCTGCCCTCAGGCCAATTTTCGGCTTTCAGGGCTGTTGCACGTTGAATGACAATTGCGCGGTCATGCAACACTGTACCCATATGAAAATTTTTTATAATTTTTTTGAGATAGAGCTTTCTGTTGGTGGTATTTAATCCCCACTTTGGTTTTTTATTTTTTTGCTAAACAAATGAAAAAAGTCCACAATTTGTGAAAAAAAAAAAAGTTTTACATAGTTTCTGTTGTAAAATTTTGCAAATTAGTAATTTTTCTTCACTGATGTGCACTGATGAGGCTGCACTGATAAACTACACTGATTGACACTGATGGGGCTACACGGATGAGCACTTATAAACTACACTGATTGACACTGATGGGGCTACACGGATGAGCACTTATAAACTACACTGATTGACACTGATGGGGCTACACGGATGAGCACTGATAAACTACACTGATTGACACTGATGGGGCTGCACTGATAATTAGGGGACTCATGATCGGTGTCCTGATTATCAGTGTAAACGATGTACTGACAGTAGCAAATCACAGTGCAGCGCTAAAAAATATGTTCTTTAAAAGTGACTGAGCAATTAAGTAGATAATGAAGTTCATAGATGGATAAATGATGGATAACTATTAAAAATTCAGAAGTTCAAAAGTGACAATTAGTGCTCTGAAGGTGCCTGCTTCAATGATAATCCGGTGCGTGTGCAAATGGGTGTAGTAAAATTGCGCACTCACCAGATGCGCAACATAAATGCGCATGTAAATATATAGCCAGATGTCCTCTTAAGGAGATCAGGGTAGACCAGGTGGTGGATTATCCTCCCTCAATATTTTATTGAGGTTTTTATTTGGTTACCTTTCATGCATAGCTGCTTCTTTTAGTGCGCTTGCATATTTTTTACCTTTTTAATGTACTGACAGACTTGCCAGTTATGGGCTCTCCTTTCCTCACACAGACACAGCGTGTGAGGAAAGGACTGCCGATAACCAGCACGTCTGTGTATGTGTGATCAGCTGTGACTGGACACAGCTGATCACATGGTAAAGGGCAGCTGTAATTGGCCCCTTACCGCGATCTGCGATCAGCTGTGTTCAAAGGACACAACGGTCACAGAGCGATCCAAAGTGAACCCCAGAGGGTAGTCGGGAGGCGGGTTCTGGGAGGACGTCCATGGACGCTCCACCAGAACTGGAGAACCGCGCTGTCTTTTGGCTACAGTGCATTCCGGAAGTGGTTAAAGTAGTGCAGTGCTGAAAAGCAGAAGGGAGTAAAACCTTCCGGAGCTCAAGTGGGTAAAAACCTCAATGTATCGTAAAACATACAATTCAGAACATTGAGCTGTAGGTCATGCAGCATACGGTTTTACTCAAATCTGGTATCAATGGGCCCCTAAGTAGCACCTGAGCTCACAGTAATGATACCAACTTACCATCACTTCCTCCTCATAGGCCGCCTCCCCTTCGCCCACCTTCTTGGGCACTGTGTGCTCATATTCGTGAGATGGGTCCCCTATGAATCGGCCTTTAATCACCTGCCCCTCAGCAATGATGGCCTCAGTGGGTGGAGGCAGGAGACACCAGTCCATACAGTTCAGGCTGCCAAGAAGAAACAAGGACAGAATGTGAACACAGCGGGACCAGGGGCGGACTGATCATTTGGAGACTTGGGCACTGCCCGAGGGCCCGGGGTCAGTAGGGGGCCCCATGAGATGTCCCTGGTACCTTTTTCGTAGGCCTTTTTGCGTTTGGGCAAGGACACAGGGGCCCCATGATCCCCTATTGAGGGCCCAGGGTCAGTAGGGGGCCCCATGAGATGCTCCTGGTACCTTTTTCATAGGCTTTTTTGCATTTGGGCAAGGACACAGGGGCCCCATGATCCCCTATTGAGGGCCCAGGGTCAGTAGGGGGCCCCATGAGATGCCCCTGGTACCTTTTTCATAGGCTTTTTTTGAGTTTGGGCAAGGACACAGGGGCCCCATGATCCCCTATTGCCCGGGGGCCCCATGAGTTGTCAGTCCGCCCCTGAGCGGGACTGAACCTTGGAGGAAGCCAATGAGGCGACTCCACCAGGAACATCGTCTAGCGAGGATATTATTACTAAGATCAGCAAACCGATCCTGGAGAGCTCAACTACCACCTAGATTAGGAGACCTCCAAATTTCCATTGATAAACAGCCAACCCAGCCCGAGGATCCAGGCCTGGAAATCTCTTCTCCAGCAGAGTCACAGAGTCCCCCAAAACAAGAGCTCTGCTGGGACCTCCATCATCACTGGACAGTGTATAGCAATACCTATAGGGTCCGATCTCATCTATAGGAAGTAATGTACTGTACAGGGGCGGACTGACCATTTGGAAACTTGGGCACTGCCCGAGGGCCCGGGGTCAGTAGGGGGCCCCATGAGATGCCCCTGGTACCTTTTTCATAGGCTTTTTTGAGTTTGGGTAAGGACACAGGGGCCCCATGATCCCCTATTGCCCGGGGGCCCCATGAGTTGTCAGTCCGCCCCTGGTACTGTATGATATATGATGGAGGGTATATGGTCTATAGGGGTCTCTGTAGAAGCGCCTTCCCCCCATAATGTACTGTATGGTCTACACAGAACCTATAGGGACCTCACCCATAGAAGGTCCTCAAGTTATATAAAGTATGGTTCAAGGTCCTTCTCCCCCCAATAATATACAGTATGATGTATATATAGGTGGTATACAGTGAAGGAAATGCGTATTTGCTCCCCGGCTGATGTTGAATGTTCGCCCCTCACAAAAAAATGATCGGTCTACAAATCGAATGTTCGGTGTATTGTAACCCTGAGAGACAGAATAGCAACAACAAATTCAGCAGAAATGCGTCTATCAAATGATGACTGATCTGCATGTTCATGAGGGAAATAAGGATTTGATCCCCTATCATTCAGCAGGATTTCTGGCTACCAGGTGTCTTTCATACAGGTAACAAGCTGAGATTAGAAGCAGTCTCTTAAAGGGAGTGCTGCTAATCTCATTTTGTTACCTGTATAACAGACACCTGTCCACAGGAGCCATCAAACCATCAGATTCCAAACTCTCCACCATGGCAAAGACCAAAGAGCTGTCCAAGGATGTCAGGGACAAGATTGTAAACCTACACAAGGCTGGACTGGGCTACCAAACTATGGCCAAGCAGCTTGGTGAGAAGGTGACAACAGTTGGTGCAATCATTCACAAATGGAAGAAACACAAAACAAGTGTCAGTCTCCCTAGGTCTGGTGCACCATGCAAGATCTCACCTCGTGGAGTGTCAATGATCATGAGAACAGTGAGGAATCATCCCAGAACTACACGTGAGGATCTTGTCAATGATCTCCAGGCAGCTGGGACCACAGTCACCAAGAAAACAATTGGTAACACACTACGCCGACAAGGACTGAAATCCTGCAGTGCCCGCAAGGTCCCTCTGCTCAAGAAAGCACATGTCCAGGCTCGTCTGAAGTCTGCCACTGAACATCTGAATGATGCAGAGGAGGACTGGGGGAAGTGTTGTGGTCAGATGAGACCAAAATTCGGCTCTTTGGCATCAACTCAACTTTGGAGGAGGAGGAATGCTGCCTATGACCCCAAGAACACCATCCCAACTGTGAAACATGGTGGTGGAAACATTCTGCTTTGGTAGGGGGTTTCTGATAAGGGGACAGGACAACTGCACCGCTTCAAAGGGACGATGGATGGGGCAATGTACCATCAAATCTTGGGTGAGAACCTTCTTCCCTCAGCCAGGGCATTGAAAATGGGTGGTGGATGGGTGTTCCAGCATGACAATGACCCAAAACACACGGCCGAGGCAACAAAGGAGCGGCTCAAGAAGAAGCACATTGAGGTCCTGGGGTGGCCTAGCCAGTCTCCAGACCTTCATCCGATTGAAAATCTGTGGAGGAGCTGAAAGTTCGAGTTGCCAAACGTCATCCACCAAACCTTAATGACTTGGAGAGGATCTGCCAAGAGGAGTGGGCCAAAATCCCTCCTGAGATGTGTGCGAACCTGGGGGCCAACTCCAGGAAACGTCTGACCTCTGTGATGGCCAACAAGAGATTTGCCACCAAGTACTAAGTCATGTTTTGTGAAGGGGATCAAATCCTTATTTCCCTCATGAACATGCAGATCAGTCATCATTTGTTAGACGCATTTCTGCTGAATTTGTTGTTGTATTCTGTCTCTCAGTGTTACACCGAACATTCCATTGTTAGACCGATCATTTCTGTGTGAGGGGCGAACATTCAGCATCAGCCGGGGAGAAATACACATTTCCTTCACTGTATATAGGAAACTGTAGCCCCCCTCCCCCCAGAATGGTATATATAGGGATCTATAGTCCCCTCCCCCCCAGTATGGTATATATAGGGATCTATAGTCCCCCCCAGTATGGTATATATAGGGATCTATAGTCCCCTCCCCCAAGTATGGTATATATAAGGATCTATAGCCCCCACCCCCCAGTATGGTATATATAATGATCTATAGTCCTCTCCCCCCCCAGTATGGTATATATAGGGATCTATAGCCCCCCTCCCCCCATATGGTATATATAAGGATCTATAGCCCTCCTCCCCCGTATGGTATATACAGTGGGGATCGAAAGTTTGGGCACCCCAGCTAAACCTTTGTATTAATGTGCATAAAGAAGCCAAGGAAAGATGGAAGAATCTACAAAAGGCATCAAATTACAGATTAGACGTTCTTATAATATGTCAACAAAAGTTAGATTTTATTTCCATCATTTACACTTTCAAAATAACAGAAAACAAAAAAATGGCGTCTGCAAAAGTTTGGGCACCCTGCAGAATTTATAGCATGCACTGCCCCCTTTGCCAAGCTGAGACCTGCCAGTGTCATGGATTGTTCTCAATCATCGTCTGGGAAGACCAGGTGATGTCAATCTCAAAGGTTTTAAATGCCCAGACTCATCTGACCTTGCCCCAACAATCAGCACCATGGGTTCTTCTAAGCAGTTGTCTAGAAAAACTGAAACTGAAAATAGTTGATGCTCACAAAGCTGGAGAAGGCTATAAGAAGATAGCAAAGCGTTTTCAGATGTCAATATCCTCTGTTCGGAATGTAATTAAGAAATGGCAGTCATCAGGAACAGTGGAAGTTAAAGCAAGATCTGGAAGACCAAGAAAAATATCAGACAGAACAGCTCGCAGGATTGTGAGAAAAACAATTCAAAACCCACGTTTGACTGCACGATCCCTCCAGAAAGATCTGGCAGACACTGGAGTTGTGGTCACTATTCCACTATAAAGAGATACTTGTACAAATATGGTCTTCATGGAAGAGTCATCAGAAGAAAACCTCTTCCACGTCCTCACCACAAAAATCATCGTTTGAACTTTGCAAATGAACATATAGACAAGCCTGATGCATTTTGGAAACAAGTTCTGTGGACCGATGAGGTTAAAATTGAACTTTTTGGCCGGAATGAGCAAAGGTATGTTTGGAGAAGAAGGGGCACAGAATTTAATGAAAAGAACCTCTGTCCAACTGTTAAGCATGGGGTTGGATCAATCATGCTTTGGGGTTGTGTTGCAGCCAGTGGCACAGGGAACATCTCACGAGTAGAAGGAAAAATGGATTCAATAAAATGTCAGCAAATTTTGGATGGTAACTTGATGCCATCTAAGAAAAAGCTGAAGTTAAAGAGAGGATGGCTTCTACAAATGGATAATGATCCTAAACACACCTCGAAATCCACAGGGGATTACATCAAGAGGCGTAAACTGAAGGTTTTGCCATGGCCTTCACAATCTCCTGACCTCAACATAATTGAAAATCTATAGATAGACCTTAAAAGAGCCGTGCGTGACAGACAGCCCAGAAATCTCAAAGAACTGCAAGACTTTTGTAAGGAAGAATGGGCAAAGATACCTCAAACAAGAATTGAAAGACTCTTGGCTGGCTACAAAAAGCGTTTACAAGCTGTGATACTTGCCAAAGGGGGCAGTACAAGATATTAACTCTGCAGGGTGCCCAAACTTTTGCAGACGCCATTTTTTTTGTTTTCTGTTATTTTGAAAGTGTAAATGATGGAAATAAAATCTAACTTTTGTTGACATATTATAAGAATGTCTAATCTGTAATTTGATGCCTTTTGGAGATTTTTCCATCTTTCCTTGGCTTCTTTATGCACATTAATACAAATTTTTAGCTGGGGTGCCCAAACTTTCCATCCCCACTGTATAGGGACCTATAGCTCCCTCCCCCAGTATGGTGTATATAGGGATCTATAGCTCCCCTCCCCCCAGTATGGTGTATATATATAGGGATCTATAGCCCCCCTCCCCCCAGTATGGTGTATATATAGGGATCTATAGCCCCCCTCCCCTCGTATGGTATATATAAGGATCTATAGCCCCCTCCCCCGTATGGTATATATAAGGATCTATAGCCCCCCTGCAGTATGGTATATATAGGGATCTATAGCCCCCCTTCCCACAGTATGGTGTATATATAGGGATCTATAGCCCCCCTCCCCCCCAGTATGGTGTATATATAGGGATCTATAGCCCCCCTCCCCCCGTATGGTATATATAAGGATCTATAGCCCCCCTCCCC